CCAACAAGAATATCAAACACATACTGCAGAAGATGGTGGAAACCTACCGGGATTGGCCAGATAAGTTTCCATTTGCTCTGTGGGTTACAGGACTTCAATTAGAACTTCTACCGGAGCGACTTCGTATTCACTGGTTTATGGAATGGAGGCCGTTCTACTTATCGAGATTGAGGTTCCGTCATTACGAGTATTGGCTGAGTGTCAAATAGCCGAAGCAGATTGCCAGCAAAGCAGATTTGAGGAACTTATGCTTTTTGATGAGAGGAGACTGAAAGCACTGTACCATGTTCAAGGTTATCAGCGCAGAATTGCCGGTCTTTCAACAAGAAAGTTAAGTCCAGGAATCTAAAGGAAGGAGATTTGGTGCTCAAGGACAACGAGTCCCATCCACGACCCAAGGGAAGTTAGACCTAATTGGACTGGTCCCTATATCATCAAAGCTATCTGGTCAGGTGGAGCTGTGGTTCTGATGAACTAGATGGCTTGGAGTTCTCACAACCGATCAATATGGACAAGTTGAAGAAAGTTTACCCTTGAGAGGCTCGCTAGGCCGAAAACCCGAAAGGGCGACCTAGGCAAAAGTTAGAGGCACAAAAAATTGAAAATATAAAAACTGAGCTCGCAAGGTTGAAAACCCGCAAAGGGCGACTTGGCAAAAGTTAGAGCATAAAAGGAGAGTGAAAATACCCGAGTGAACCTAAGCCCGAACTACGTAAGGCTTGATTCCCATCTTTGGGATACGCAGGCAGCTTCACCCTGAAGTTCAGCCATAAACTTTTCCCCGATCAACTTTGTCCATTTTGACCATCTCAGTCATCTTTATCCATCAGCATTTATCGCAATCTCCGGTGCAGTGCTATTCAGACTAGAGGCAACTTTCCGTTGTCGTGCAGTGCCGCGGTACTCTTCAGACTAGGGGCAACTTTCCAGTTGCAGGGATCTGGGGTTGTGCATCTCAGTGACAGATCTTAGGCGTGTCCAGTTCTGATCCATATCGAAAATGGTTTTGAAAAGTTTTAATAAAAGTTGATTTTGTTCAAATTAATCTCTTCGCAATTAAGACCATTTTTGGACCAAAGCGAAAATTTTCAGTACCACAACCTTCAATTTCATTGATTTCAAAACAGAGTTCTCCTGTTCTTTCATACAATCGAAGTTGCTTTTTATTACATTCATAAAGAAAACTTGAAAGTACTAATAAAGCAATAAATCCGGGGCATAGTCAAGTCAAGTATCCCTACGCCCCCTCCCAGAGCTGGTCGAAGCCTCTGATGCCAAGCTAGGCCCAATCTGTGCCTCCTCATTGAGCCAATCCAAGCACTCGTCAGACAAAGTGCAATTGAAAGTGGGAGCAGGGGCCAGGAGCTCTCTAGTCCTCCATGCTGTGGCATATCGGGCAAGCTGTGCACCTCGAACCGGGAAAGCAGCCGGGTACTCAATCCCCTTTGGCGGGCAAATCTAATCATGACCGAACTGGCGCAGGAACCGGAACGGAAAGTAGAACACACAGTGGGTCAGACCAATCAACTGGATCCCGATCAGCCGGGACATGCTATAGCTCATTGCCGGGAGATTGAGCCAAGGACAACACCAAGCAATACGATCTGCAGACAAATTACACATCCAGTCAAACCACCACCCTTCATCAAGGGCATCAACTAGGCGCTGTCGAAAGAAATAGCCTCGAGCTGAGTAGGCTGGGCAAGAATCTACAACCTGCAATTTGTCCATCAACCATACCTGGGGAGGGATGAAAAATGAGAGAATAAAGAATAGAGAGGTGTACGATGAGAGAAAAGTAAGACAAGGGTTTTGTGAGAAAAATCGAGCCTGAGGGCCGAGTGATGTGAGCAAATACACATGTAAGGTTGGGTGGGAAACATTACTTGCAGCAGCAGTGAACTCCCAGCAAATCTAGTCGTCTCCCGGCGATGGAAAGCATACAAGCCCATCAGCGTCTCGGCCAAGGTCATGGCAATGCAACTCTTTCCTTCTTTCAAACCTTGAGCAACTTCAATCAGACGGATGCTAGATCTGCCAAAGCCCGGGGAAAGCAGAAAGTGAGACAGCAGGCACAAGCAAAGGGTGTGTTGTCGAAGACCTTGCCAACAATGGTTGCTGCGGTCACCAACGTCAAAAAAGCGATAAATCAGACCGAGGATATCCAGTTCCCCATTACAGATCAGAGATCGAGCATCATGCGCGGTGAGTCCACACATCCTCCCTAAAGCTTAGGCGTGACCAAAGCGGAACTGGGGCAAGATCTCTTCATGACTTTCAGACTCCATCAAAACCTGAAAATCTTCAAAAGTGGGACATACCTCTTGGCCGCCGAAGCTAAAGACGTACGTCATCCATCAAAACTTGAAAATCTTCAAAAGTTGGACATACCTCTTGCCCGCCAAAGCTAAAGACATGCGTCACCGGGTTCCAAAACCTCGCCGCGGCATGGAGGAAAGGAAGGTGCAGCGGAGTGCGACTCAGCATGAATAGTGCATTCAAGCCAAAACCCCGAAAGCTCAGCTTTTCCGAACCATCTAGAGAAGCGATCCAAGCTGTGAGATTTTCAACAAGAAACGCCTCCATTTTTGGTGCAAAACTAAGGTGAATTGAATGAACCACGAAGATAAGGCTTTTAAAGCTATTTGGGGGACAAGTGTCAAAAATTTGACGGTTGCTGGACTAAGTGGCCGGCCGGCCACCTTTTCTGGCAGGCCGGCCATTTCCTTTTTCAAAAACTGGCCGGTGGTCCCCCCTTGAAATAAAATTGGCCGGCCGGCTTCCAAAAGTGGCCGGCCATGCTCCAGTGTATGCCCTTGGCCCTGTTTTACCCTCCAAGAGAAAGTTTCAAGCATTTCCATACAACGGGTATGTTGAAGGCCTCTATTTCCCTCTGTTTTGGATGCGTTCCGATTGCCCAGATCGTCCGAAGTACACTTTGTGTTGTTAAGTTTTGTTTATCAAGTTTTTGTTTTGTTTATCGAGTTGTTGTTTTGTTTATCGAGTTGTCGTTTTGCTTATCGAGTTGTTTGTCGAGCTGTCGTGTTTCGTGTTTTTGAGTTGTTACTCTCTGTTTAAGCAATTTTTGTTTGTGTCTTGTTTATTTGAGTTGTCAACACTATTGTGTTTTGCTTATTGAGTTATAAACTTGCTAAGGTTTTGTTATGTCTTGGAAAGTTAAGTTGTTGCGTCGGTTCACTACCTGACTAGGCAAAATGCACAACGCACGTTTCCATTCAATCTCATTATGGTGCAAAATGATACGATATGATGCTAAAAGTTTAAAATACAACACTTTTTTCAAAAGCTGTTTCACTCCTTCATACCTCGCTTGTTACAACATTTTATAGATTAAGGTGCAAGTTTTACAAAAATAAAACTGCCCGATAATGTACAAATGTGCTACAACTACTAGCAAAAAGATAAATAAAACAGGGAAACAGCTCCATCTGTGCTCTCAAGAGCAGGAATAAGAGGCGCTCCTCGTCCTCTTCTACGGAATAGACTCTCCGCCACCATCACCATCGTCATCATCTGAATCAGAGTCGTCACCCTCGGGATCCTCCTCAGCCTCACCTCCACTCCCGGAACCGAGACCGGAGCCGTCCTCTCTGTCGGCTGATGTCTCTGACTGACGATCTGCAGCCTCCTCCTCCTCATCTTCATCGGGCTCCTCCTCTATAATGTGTGCCTTGCGCCTACGAGACGGTCCCCCTCCAGCTCCACAAAAAGGCCTGGATGGCCCAGCTCCTCGAAAAGGCCTGGATGGCCCGGCTCCTCGAAAAGGCCCGAATGGCCCAGCCCCCCGAGAAGGCCCAGGTGGCCCGGCCTGCGACTGAGCATATACCGGGGGCATCTGTGAATAAAGAGTTCAATTTAAATACATCAGTCCAAATATGTACATCAGGTGCAGATGCGAGAAAACTACATGAAGTGGGTACATATAAACACAGTGTATAAATGAGGTGTGTGTCAGATGTGCTCTACACAAGTAGCCTATCAATGCAATAGAAATCAGCATATCATCAGAAGTATGATAAATGCCAGAAAACTAAAGAGTACCTGGAAACCCATGACGGACAGCTGCGCCTCTCTCCGCAAGACCATGCCCTCAAGTGAGGCCACCAATCCGATCACCCCCTCCATGTACTCTCTGGGTGGTTGCAGATACGAGCTCATGATCATCATTGAATAAAGAAATGTCTAAGTGTTTGAATGATAGATGAAAAACAGTGGGGCATACTGGCGGTGAGTTGGGATCAATGACGTATGGATGATCAGGCATGGGAGGCTCTATCAGAATCGTGTAGGAGGTCCCGTACCGCCATCCTGTCAACTTGGTCGGCATGTCTGACCATCCAGGATGAGGATAATTCGGAGGAATCGGGGGAACCAATCCACCCCCACCTCTAGATGTACCAACCCTGCTAGTGGAAGGGGCGTCTACAGCTCGAGCCCGGGCCTGGCTCGAAGATGGCATGCCAGCAGGCCTCATCGTCGGAGTACGAGCTCCCGTCAATGGAGGCATCAGGTATATGTGGCGGTAAGTGGCGTAATCCCCCTCCTCCAGATGTATCAAGGCGTCAGTACCCAGCATAGCATTAACAACATTCTGGGAAATGAGCATATCAGCAATCCGCATATCAGCTGGGGGTGCTGAAGGAGGGTCCTGAGAAGTGTACCCCCAGACCTGACGCAAGAAGCGCTCTCCCAAAAACCAGGCCCTGCCAACTGGCCCTTCGAACAGGATCCTGTACCGGGAGGCACCCCACTCTCCGGCAAACTGGAATCGGAGACCCTCACCTAAAGGCGCCCATGGCTGCCATGTAATCTGCAGATATCAAACGCATAAATCAAGCAGAAATCAATAATGTACTGGACAAATCAAAGGTGAAAACAGAAAGAACTGAGAATTCTGAGATACCTCCGACGATCGCACCGTGTCGAAATACTGCCGCAGATAAAGGAGAGACTCCCGAGGTCTTGGCCGGTGCTGGCCTTCAAATACCAGTGAGTATGGGGTCATGAGAAGTCCCCCTACCAACATCTTTGTGGTCAATGTCGGGAAGTACACATAGACCCACAACTGTGAAAACAGAGCAGAATACGAAGTGCTGAGGGCAAAAGTGCACGATACAGAGTATAAAGTGCGCCGTGTGTGCAATGTGCAAGTAATGAGGAACAGAAATGTAAATCAGGAGGGCAGAAAGTACCTCCCAGGCTCTCCAATAGCCGCCAAGTAAGTCCCCCCGTCCGCGGGAAGTCGCACTCATATAGCAATAAAGGGTAGCTAAGCCGGCGCCACCCCAGTCGTATCGTCTGACCTGTGATAGGTCCGCCAAAGCAGTCAGCAGATAGAGCCCTACAGTGTTCCCCCTGTCGGAAAACAAAGTGGTCCCGAAGAGGAACATCAAGAAGCCGCGGGCATACTGTGCCGCCTCATCAGGAGTCCCGGGCTCCATCTCCGCCCGCCGGAAGTGGGAAGAGAACCAGGTGTATCGGACTCTCCCTGAAGCTCTGTCAACAGGCGGGCGAGCCCCCAGCAAATATATCCAGGCAGCCTCCCACTGACCCATGTCCTCATCATAAGGGATAGGCCAACCTCCCATATCCAGGCCAGTCAGCACGGCAAAGTCAAAGGGGGTCATAGTCAAGTCCCCCGTAGCGGAAAAATGGAAGGAGTTGGTGGTGTCCCACCATCTCTCCACCAAAGTAGCCATCAGCGTCCTCCTGGCAGGGCAACGGGATAGCCCAGTACAGAAAGGTCCGAAACCCGTCAAGTCAACCAAATCCCAAACAGCCTCCGGGAGCTCGGCATACCAGTCTCTCGCCACAGTAGAGCCATACCCCCCCACATTGCGAGAAGTCACCTGCATTCAGAATGAATAGGTGTTTCAGCATAAAATGAATAAGCTGCGTACAAATGAAATGAATAAGCTGCGTGCAAATGAAATGAATAAGCTGCGTGCAAATAAAATGAATAGGCTGCTCGCAAAGTAAAGTAAGTGGGCTGTGTGCTCTGAAAATCAATTTGGGCTGTGTGCTCAGACAATCAGTGTGGGCTGCGTGTTCACCATCAATTTGGACTGTGTGTTCAGAAAATCAGTGTTTGGACTGCATGTTCAACTCTCAATCAGTGTGGGCTGCGTGTTCACCATCAATTTGGACTGTGTGTTTAGAAAATCAGTGTTTGGACTGTGTGTTCAACTCTCAATCAGTGTGGGCTGCGTGTTCACCATCAATTTGGACTGTGTGTTCAGAAAATCAGTGTTTGGACTGCGTGTTCAACTCTCAATCAGTGTGGGCTGCGTGTTCACCTTCAATTTGGGCTGTGTGCTCTGAAAATCAGTGTTTAGACTGCGTGCTCTAAAAATCAGTGTTTGGACTGCGTGTTCAACTCTTAACCAGTGTGTGCTGCGTGTTCACCTTCAAATTGGACTGTGTGTTCAGTAAATCAGTGTGTGAGCTGCGTGTTCAACCCTCAACCGGTGTGTGCTGTGTTTTCACAATCAATTTATGGGCTGAGTGTTCAGAAATTCAAGTGATTGAACCGTGTGTTCAGAGTGCAAACAGAATACAAGAAAAATTTGTAATACGTTACAGAAAAGGTAAAAATGAAGTAAAATACCTCTCGTGCCTCATGGGAGAGATGATACTCAGGCTCCCGCAGGAGGAGATCTCCGGGTGCTCGCTCGTCGAACTCGGTGAAATGATAAAAAACAGCCCGCGGAAGGACGTGTACTGGTGGGTCATACCTCTCGGGTATGAAGGGGCGAACCCTCGGAGGCAGAGACATGATGTTAGGCTCGCCTCTGGCGCCTGGAGAACCTCCGCCGTGGGGAAATTGACCCGTCATTTCCAAAAAATCTGCAAAAGGGGCAAAAATGAGCAAAAAATGAGCCAAAATTGGAAAAAGTCAACAAAAGTCAACTCTTGGGAAATGAAAAAGTCAACAGAAGTCAACTCCCGAGAAAATCTTCCAAATATTGAGGCAAACTCACCTCAAGTGGCGAAAATGAGAAAAGAAGCCCCGAAACCAAAATTTAATCGGTTCAAAGTGCTTGAAACTGAAAGATTTCGCGAAAACAACTTGCGTGGGACGTTGGAAAACGCGTATGGAGCCCAGATCTGAGGGAGAAAATGGTTTGGGAAGCTAGAGAGGAGGATTTCGGAGCTGCATTTATGAGCTCAAAGTGTTTGGATAAGTGTATTTATAGAAAAGAGGCTAAAAGGACAAAATTGCCCCCGGATTTGGCAAAGTGGCCGGCCGGCCACTTTTTCTGGCAGGCCGGCCATTCACTTTTCAAGAAATGGTCGGTGGCCTCCCTCTCCCCATAAAACTGGCCGGTGGTGTTCCCCACATGCCTCCCAAGGTCCCTGCAAAGTTTGAGGAGGATTGGAGTCCCCGGGACCTGAAAAAGTATAAGAGAAGTGCACTTCCTGTCGCGAAATCGCTCCGCCGGGACCTCAGCTTTAACTTTCGATGTGTGTCTCATCATTACTCATCAAAAGTGAGATGTATCCTTTTTGAACATGTTGTAACTCCTCCGGGAGGTGAACCGGAGGTCGCAATCGAATCGCCCTCGCCGAAATGCGCATTTCCTGGCTCTTTGTTTTGTGAAGAACATATATCCTGGTTTACGCTTGTTCTGCATTATCATGCACATAACTTGCATCCTCATGCACATACTTGCATTGTTATGCAGGTCCCTTTGACATCACTGAGCCTCCGTGCTTGAACCCGCGTTGTCGAGCGCGTTCCTTCCCGCATTGCGATGCACTTTTCCATCGACACCGCGATTGTCTGCATACGATATCGCATTGAACATATGTTGTTAGATATGTTGTGCTTGTTGAGTTTCTTTATTTTGCAGGCACGATATTGTATGTACGGTTCATTTGAAGCTAGTGCGACCAGACGAATCGCGCAGGTATCGTATCTTCTCCGTGTGAGACGCGACGAGAATTGAATAATTCTCCCCATTCTTAACTGCATGAAATGTAGTTGTTGCTTTGCATTCTTACTTAAAACTGTTGCATCTATTTGCGAATACTTGCTTCATTACAGCTCGCTGCATTTGCATGATCATTAAGTTACCTTCGGCTTCTTGCTTTTTCGGTTGCATTTTGCCCCTGCCTGAGGGCATGCCTGCGGGCACATCTGTGTTATTTCGTATGTTTGTCTAAGTCTTCAGTCTTGTCAAAAATAGGTCGTCTCTGGGCTTTGACATTCACTCCCATCACTTATGACTTCCGAGTTCTGTCAAAGAGGGGCAATGTAGACACCCCATTTTTGACCGACCATGAGACTCAGACGTCACCAGTTGAGCACTCGGTGATATTGCATATGGTGCTTGTTCAGAAGTTTCAGAGTCTCGGCTGCGAGCCTTGCCTCCGAACTTCCGGACTCTTTTGTGCTTTGCCTCGGTTTGCGAACCAGGCTCTGTTTTCTCTATTTTCTCTTTCCGAAGGGAGGGAGAGGTCTCGTAGATCATCTCTCAGTGGCCGTAGGCTACGTTTCGTGGTCGTAGGCCATTTTTCCCTTTTGGAGCCCGGTTTTCGGTTTTTCTGAGCCGTTGGCCGTGTACCTCGGTTCGGGATCGCTTAACCACCTCCGTTTGCTCCGGTTTCTGGCATACATCTTATTTTCTCCCTTTTGAGGGACACTGTGGTTCGAGAAACCGACTTCGTGGTCGAGCACCACTTTCGATGCCTAACAGTCAGTTTTCGGGGCCCCGGACTGCGCATTTCGGCCCCTGAACCTTCATTTTGCATCGGTTTTGGTTCATTTTTGGCAGGAACCTCTGTTTCATTGCTAGGAAGGTCATAGAAGGATGAGAGGCCAGTAATTGTTCTGTCAGCCAACTTTATCCCTTTATCGCCCTCCGTCGCCCGATTTTGTTCACTTCAAAGCCAATGTTGACCACCCTTGGGCCATTTTCTTGCACCCTAAACCCCATATTTGCGATGTACACATCTGGGAGGCCACCAATATTTGGTGGCCGGCCAGTAATTGCTTTTGAACCTTTTGAACCCCTTTGAAAAGTGGGTTGTTCTCTCTCCTGGTTCACTTTCTCCAGTTTTTTACTACAGGGTTGTGTTGTGCACACATGGGAGGCCCTCTTTCTGTGGTGGCCGACCATTAATTCTCATTGACCGTTTTGACCCTTGGCCGGCCAGCCATGGGGAAAGCCGACCGGCCACCTGCAGTTTCAACAACCGGCCGGCCAGAATCCTTGCTGCAAGTACATCTCAAATATACGTTCTTTTTCTCCCCAGATTCTATATCCGGGGGGCTATATTTTGGGGGGAAACTTGGATTGTTTTCCCTCCATTTCCCCCCCCCTTTTCCCCCCCTTTTTTGTCTATATAACAGCAGCTCCAGCTCTGTTATTAGGGTTACAAAAATCCCCCTCAAGCCTTTTGCATTATATATCTCTCCCTCTCTATTCCAAGCTCAAGACCTTTCAAGTCCTACACCCCTTTACACACCACCACCAAGCACCACACCACCATCATCCATTCCAGTAGCTCCAGGACCCTTTTCAGAGCTAAGGAACCACCAAACTCAAGCCAAGAGTTGCCAAAAGATTGGTCTTCAAGGGTAAGTTCTATTTCCCTCCTTTTGGTCCATAATTTGCATGCTTTCTAAGCCACACTTGCTTGCTATTTTGGGATCCGACCCTAACATGAATTAGGCTTATTTTGAGCTCCTTTTCACTTTTGTTTAAGGGCCCCTCACTGTTTGAGGCCTCCTTGTTGCACTTGCTTCATTATCTCTTTTGTATGCCTATTTCTTGTGTAGTATTTTTGGCCTATGTATAAATTGTTTTGAGGCATGTCATAAACTGTAAAGGGGATTATTTTGATCCATTCTTCAATGTTTTTGAAGGTCTCATCACTGTTTGAGGCTTCTATCTTCCACTTGCCTTTATATCCCTTTTTTGGTTCCATTTTTGCATGATTCATTAGCCTCTTTTGCTTCTATTTTTGGACTCTGGTCCGAACTAAAAACAGCCTTATTTTGACCCCTTCTTCATGTTTAATTAAGGATATTTTACTGTTTAAGGCATCCTTTTTGTACTTTGTGTTATAGCTCTCTTTTTTGCCTTGTTTTGCATAGTATTTTGAGCATGCTTGTGTACTGTTTTTGGCTCGGTCATAAACTGTAAAAGGTCATAATTTGGGCCCCTCTTCAACATTGGTGAAGGGCCCTCATCTATTTGGCGCCAGCAGCTGTGACTTGCTTCTTTATCTCACATTTAGGGCCATTTTTGCGCATCGGTTTAGCCCTATTTGTGTTTGCTGTTTGGCCTTTCTTAAAACTGTAAACATACTTTTTTTAGGGCTTCCTTGAATCTGTCTTCACATGTCATGATCAAATAATGCATGCTTAATGTAGCTACAAGTCATTTCATGTGCTTAATCTTGCATTTCGGGACCATTTCATGCATCGGGTGCCATATTCCTATGATTCGGGGCTGTTTTGGGTCATGTTTAGCTTCTGAAATTTGCATGCTAGCATATCATCTTGCCATGTCTTGTTAGAGTGGCATTCCGTGCCGTAGGTTCGGTCCTCGGTTTGCGTGCACGCATGCACGCATTTCGAGTTGTCTTGTTTTCGTCTGATGGCCTCCTATGTGAGTGTGGCTGAGGCTCTCTCATGTTGGTGTAAGCCCATTATTGCATTGCGTATGCCATTTCATCCATAGCATTGTGCATACTCGGTTGTATGTTACCTCGTGCAGCGTGCACGGAAAAGGGCATAACTTTTTCTACAGGGGGAATTTTAATGCAAGGTTTGCGCCATTGGAAAGCTAACTTCTGGGGCTTCATCCTAGGGGGTGACCGGCCATTTTTTCTGACGTTTACTAAAATTATTTCAATTCAAGCAACACGCCTTCATCCATAGGCATTCAAGAAGTTTATCATTTAAGCATTTGGCCTCATGGCAAGCATGTTAAACATGGCAACAATCACACGCATGCAATATGCTGAAATGAGTAAAGGCTCACCTAGTACTCCAAGCCAAAATAAAGAAAAAAGTTAGAAAAATGAATGATTCCTAACTATGCAATATGACTAATGCAACGCATGTGATAATGCAACTAACAGGCTTGGCCACTAATATGGCATATGAATCAATGAAATAGCATGCGGTCTAAGAATGTATTCAATGAAGTATTGAACCAACAATGCAGTTAGAATGATGAACCGAGCCTCGATGCATGTAATACAAGTGGATGCAAACATGAAGTATGCTAAATGAAACAT